CAAATTTGCTTTTCTGATAGAGAACGAAAGAGGTATTTGAGGCCCCAGAGCCATGGTATCTTATCACGTTTTTATGACTGAGAGCTTCTTATAAAGAATTCAAGATCCCTATCTTGGCTCAGGCTGCATTTACGCTGAGATAAAAATGTGCTCTTGCTTCTCCCATGAAGATGGTACTGTGAGTCCCGCTGCCCAGTCTGGAACTGCGGTGGCGAATCCCACTGGCCGAGGCAGGCTGCTGCCCAGTGTGACCCCTACAGCTCCCCAAGATCAATGCTCTGAGGGTCATTTACAACTCCTAATTTTTAAAGAGTTTTTGTCATTATTTTTGAGACTACAGGGAGCTGGTGGGGTGGCCTGTGGTGGGCTGTGCTGCTGACCGGAAGGTTGGGGGGTGGAGGGTGACCCGAAGGCAGTGCCTCTCCAGGGGTTCTAATCCACCAGCTGCTCCAGGGGAGAGAGAAGGGGGAGTCCCCTGCTGTGTGATTTACATGCTCCGAAAGCCACCCGAGTTGGTTCCAACTTGACAACATTGAGTTTGAGTGGTGGGAAACACACACTGCAGTACGCGCGTGGACATTCCAAGGACGGACATGCTTGACAATGGTCAGGATGGCACCAGTCCTCACCTTGTATTCTAAATGATTTGTCCTTCATGAACTTGGACTTGTGTGAGAACCCACTAAGCTTCTCTTGGAACCTGTTGTGTCAATTTGATAGCATAACAAAGCAAACAGCCTCTGCCCTCAAGCTGCTTCCTACTTACATCAACCTGGGGGACAGAGCAGGACTGACCGGCAGGCTTTCTGAGGCTGCAGATTGGATGGGAGTGGCTTGTTACAACGTTGTACCTTTGGAGTGACTGGTGGGTTCCAACTACTAACCTTTCAGTTAGCATCCAACATATAACCCACTGTGCCACCAGGAGTCCCATCTTCCTCTTAAAACAGCCTGACAAGCACGGTGGATGCTCTTTGCTAGCGAGTCGCACTATTGTTCGAGTGTCAGGAGGCTTTGAAAAGCCCAATTTTTGAGGAAGAGGCTGCACATTCATTTTGGTCTGGGTTCTGGGATGCTCGTGTCAGTTACGGATGTTGACATCTGTGGCTGTGGCATGTAGCAACTCGTACTGGACTTTTGTGAACTGGAGACAGGATTTGCAAATCTAATATCCTCGTGTTCTGTTCTCCCAACGCAAGATAGCAGTGGTCCAAGGATCCCTGCTCCAAATCTTAGCAAAAACTCTCAGTAGAATGACAGTGGGAGTTTTTGTGTATATAATCTTCGTCATTTATAGAAAAAGCAAACAGAAACTCTGTCCTTGGGCTTAGGAGTCCTCTTAAATGCCCCTTTGATCAGCAGTGCGAACTCACGAGGTGCTCTGCGCCAGAAAGCCCTGCTGGTTTCCTCCTGTGAAGACAGCGGCCACAGGGACCCCGAGGGGCGTCTCCACTCATGCTGGAGGGGATGCTATGAACTGGGCTTGGATTTTTTATTTTTAGTAACACATTAAGGAGTCCACCTGGGTTTATTTTTGTTGCTTGGTTGGTTTCTGGTCCTCTTACAGACAAGAGTTATGAGGAACATCTGCTGTGAATGTTGCATCCACGAGGCTTCACTAGCCAGTTATTTCAGAAGTGGACAGCCAGGCCTGCTTCCTACTCTTAGTCTGGACGCTCTGCTGAAGCCTGCCCACTGGGGGGTCCTGCTGGCATGTGAAATGCAGGTCACGTGGCTTCTAGCCCCGAGCCTGAGCCCTGAGGGATGATGGTGGATACAGGCCGGACACGGCGGCACTTGGCACCTGGCTGACGTTGCGTGTGTGTGCATGCACGTGCTTGCAGCCCCCAGACAGCTCTGCCTGTGGGCCCGGGGTCGGGGACCTGGCCCCTGGTGGCCCCCAGGCCCCCCCAGCTGCTCAGCCTCATTGCTCGGTGGTTCGAGTAGAGGAGAGAGAAAGTACCAACAAAGCTGATTAAAAGGCCTGCTTCTTTCCTTGCGAGTCTGTGAGCCTGCCTGGAGTTTGTGATGAATTATTGATCTTACGGGGCCTCTAAAGTTGCTGAATCAGACGAGAGCCGCTGCCTGGTCACTGTGGGAGTTCCGCAGCCGAGGCCTCGTGTCCGCCGTGCACGCGGCCGCTCATTAATTATCCATCCAGCCGAATGAGGGACGTGCCTGGACTGCCAACGCCAGGCCCCTGCTCTGTGGTTGTCGATGAGTTCCTCCCCAAGGGTGTGTGACCCCACAGTGACCACTGTCGCTCAGGGCCCACAGCCAGCTGAGGGCGAGGTGGACAGGTGAGCGCCCCACAGGTGTCTGCTGGCCAGCCTGGGAGGCAGGGTCACCGGCTGAGCTGAGTGACATGGTGAGGACTCCTCTGTGACCCTGGTTGGGGATAGTGGCTGTAGAGGTGATGGTGGGGTTGGGCTGGGTGCTGGAGCTGTGTGGTCCTGCGGGTGGTCACGTGGGGGAGTGGAGGCCCCTCAGCCCTGCTCCCTGCCCACCCGTCTTTACCTTGACCTTATCCTGTAGTTCTCACTGTCTTCACACTGCTGTGAGCTCACTGGCTCAGGAGGCCTCAAGCTCCTGGGGGCTAAGGGGTCCTCTCCACCAAGGCTGCCTCCTGACGGTGCCCACCAAGGGGGTTGAAGGGAAACAGTCAGGAGCTTTGCAATTAACAGAAAGGTCAGGGACTCAAATCCCCCGGGATCTCTAGGTGAGAGCGAAGAGGCAGTCTGCACCTGTGGAGGTCCACGGCCTTGGAAGCCCAGTGGGCAGGTCTGCATCCTCCAGGCTCCCTGTGAATTGAAGGGACTCAATTGAAGGGTTGGGTTTAACCTGTAAGAGGAGGTGCCCTAGTGGTGCGATGGATAAGCACTTGGTAGCTAACCTACGGTAGGAACACTAAGTGTCCTGTGGACTGCCAAGAGAACAAATACGTCTGTCTGTCTTGGAGGAAGTGTAATCTGAGTGTTCCTTAAAGACAAAGACGGTGAAACCCTGACATATGTTGTCAGGAGGGACTGCTCCTCGGTAAGAGACAGAAGAGAAAGAGTCAGAGTGAAAGGGGAGCTCCCAACAAGGTGTGTTGACAGACTGTAACAATGTGCTTGAGTGTGACAGAGACGGGGGCAATGGCGCAGGACAGGCCGAGGCTCAGATCTGCTGTTCATGAGGTCAGGACGGGTCATGGCATGAGGTCAGGACGGGTCATGGCTGGCATGAGGTCAGGACGGGTCATGGCTGGCATGAGGTCTCCCAACAATATGCTGACCCACGGAAAGGCAGCATGAGCTGGTCGGTGAGGGAAGGTGAACCACGCGCCTCACAGAGATAGCCAGACCCAACCCACTGCTGTGGGGCCCGTTCCGGCCCACGCCACCCTCCTGTCTCAGAAGCTGTAAATTTGTTTTTAATTCTTATTTGAGTGAAAGTTTACAAAATACATTGTTTTATCAATCTGTCTTTCCTGCGCATTTTGTTTCATAAAAACAAAAGTCATACTCTCCTCCCCTTCATATTAATGAGTATTTATTATCCATTAATTCATTAGTTCATTTTCCACTCCCCAGTCCCTCCCTGGTAACCACCCTGGTGCGATTCTCTCTGTGTGCAAACCTTTCTTCAGCTCCGGTAACAGTGCTCTCACACCTTGGCCTTTTGTGACCGGCTCACTTCATGCAGCGTAATATCCCGTGTTCATCCACAGTGTGTGATGTTTCACGGCTTCTTCGTTGTTTTCAGCGTTATGTAGTACTCCGTTGTGTGAACCTGTCAGTGACAGACCTGCATCGGTTGGCATTTCTATTTCAGCTTTTTTTTTTTTTAATATAAAAACCCTTTAATTTACAAACTACAATCACAACAGCATCCACACAGCAGTGAAGGGATGGTGTCAGGGGTGGGGTATTTCCAAGGGAGGGAAAGTTGTCAAGCTCCTGACAGCTTCTCTTGCCCACGTTCATGTGGTCCATGAGAGCATGTGGTCTTGGCTGAGGGCATCTATTTCAGCTTTTTAAGGAAATGACAAGCTTCTTCCCACAGCAACTGCCCTGGTTTATGTTCCCATTACTATCTGAGGGCCCGAGCTCACGCTCAGGCTGTTCCCTGCGTTCCTGGACGTTGCTGGGGGTGCTGGGCTGAGATGATGGCTCCCTGTTTTTTGGCAGCTGTCCGTTGGCTAGTGACCTGGAGCTCGACTCCGCGTGCTGCTTGGGCATCTGAATGTCTTTTTTGATGAACAGTCATTTCATGTCTTCTGCCCATTTTGTGAGCGGGTTGTGTCTCTCTTGTTGAGGTGTTGGATTTTTCTGTAGATTTTAGGTAGAATCCTTTGGAGAATCACCTACAAAGAGAGTTACCCTCCGATAGGACTAAGCTCGGATTTCTCAGCAGAAACCTCCCAGCAAGAAGGCCGGGGGTGATGCAACGGACAGAGGCTTGAGACCGTGACGGGGGGAGGCTGCCTGCTCCTCTGCCTGTTGTGAACCGCTGACCTGAGGCTGGAAATCGTGATGGGGGAGGCCGCCTCCTCGTGCTTTTCTTGAAGAGAGGCTGCCTGATGCGAACGGCTGACCTGCCGTCAGAGTTCTAACCCTCGATGCAGCGGGGGCAGCTTACGGGGCAGCTCTGCACCGTCCCTGAGGTTCACCGAGGTGGAAGCAACTCCAAGACAGTTCGGCTTTGGTTTAAGACCTGTTAGCCTCATTCATCTTTCACTCAGCAAGTGATTATTGAGATGTTCAGACAATCAAAAGGCAGGAAAGTTTCCCCGGCAGGTGCCTTGTGCCCTGAGAGAAGGCCAGTGTGTCCCAAGTTGACATTGGCGGTGTGGGTCTTCATCCGGGGAAGTGGGCAGTGGGTGTGAGGATACAGAGGAAGGAAGGAGCCTGGCAGACCAAAGTGGACGGAAGGGCCCTGGACAGAAAATCTGGCTGCCCCAGGCAGGAAGGGTGGCTGCTGGCCTGAGTGTAGACCTCCTTGGGAATTAAGAGGACATGGATTTCTCAGTGTTGCAGGTGGGGGAGAGAGACGAGCAGATGTGTGCTGTCAAGGTGAGTCTGTGTGCTCAGCTCCTGGCAGTGAGAAAGGCTGGAGACGGTCAGCACGGGACCAGCCAGGGAGGCCACTGTGCTGAACGCCCTAGAATGACTGCATGTGCTCACCACTCACTTCCTGCTCACATAACAGCCAGCCTGCGTGGTCAGTAGCAGGCAGCCCTGGTAGGGGGCCCCTCGGTCTACATGCCAGTGGTCCAACCCCCCTGGCAGCTCCGAGGAAGGATGATGGGCAGTTTTGTGCCCCGTTAGCCAGGTGGAAGGTCCCCTCTGCAAGTTAGGAAGGAAGCCCAGCAGTGGTCTGATAGAAGGGCAAGGCTCTCACCTTTCTTCTCCGCCTTTTCTCCAGCAGCTCAGGGGCCCTGACAAGCTGGAGGTCCTCCCCTGGGACCTGCCTCACGTTTACAGCGAGGAGGGCGAGTGTGAGAGGGCCGAGACCCTGAGCTCCCTCAGCGTCCCCGAACAAGACCTGCCCCCCGACCTGCTGGACGGCCTGGGCCCCAAGTCGGCTCTGCTTGAGGAAATCTATTCTCAGTCAAGTCTTTTCACCTGAGGAAAAAAAAAAGCATTGTTTGGAAGAACTGGACCATTTAATGGAGGGCAAATTGCTATTTAAAGGAATTATTTTCCCTTTGTCATTTTATTTTATTAATATTTTAAAATTTAGCCCCCAGCCTGAGGAGGAAGGTAAACTGTTCTTCTGGATGGAACTCTTTGATGTTCTCAGAGATTTTCTTGAGAAAGGTGAATTCAGCTAACGATCCTTGCTTTCATTGGCAGCCTTGCTCAGGACGGAGTTGTTGTTGTTGTTGTCAGGTGTTCTGTCCTGCGCCGTCCTCATCCTCTGTGGCACACATGAGCCCATTGCTGCGGTCACCGTGCCAGTCCATCTCCTTGCAAGAAGGTCTTCCTTTCTTTCGCTGACCCACCACCTTTCCAAGAAGGAAGTCCTTTTCCAAGGAATGGCCTCTCCTAACTACATGCCCAAAGTCTGAGAGACAGAGCGTCACCATCCCTGCCTCCAGGCAGCGCTCGGCTGCACCTTCTTCCAGACGTAAGAGGAAGCTGCTGCTGTTGTTACGTGCCTTCGAATTGGAACTGACCCATAGCTGACCCTCCAGTGGGCTCTCAGAGGCAGTTAATCACGTGGGAGGAGACTGCCCCTCCTACTCCACTAACAGGAGACAGATGAGTGTATAATTCAGAGGTCACCCAGCTACTTGATAACTATAAATAATGCTGAGACAGAAAAAAGAAAATAAAATTTTTTTAAAATTATCACTTATATTTCTGTCATTAGGATTTTACCTTGGTATTTTTTTTTAAATCTGTGTTGCTACTTTTTTAAAAGAATAACACTTCAAATTTTCTACTGTTTCACTTGCAAATCGTTGTTTTTCACACTGCATCTTTCCTATTTCCTCAAGCCACCCCTCCCTCCACCCACCCACTAAATTGTGTGACCCCATTATTATTGCCCCCACCCATCCTCCCCCTGTGCTCCCTCCTCTCCACCTTAGATCCTCATACACTTTTTATGAGTTATCTATTTCTACAATAATGGGTTTATGCAGTATTTGTCCTTATGGGACTGAGCTAGTTCACTCAGCTTAATGCTCTCTGGTCCCTCCCAAGTTAGCTAATGATTTACAACATCATTGCTCCTGTTTGCTTCATAGTGTTCCATCATCTGTATGTACCGTCATTTCTTAATCCTTTGGGTTTTTATAAGTGCAAAATTAATGTAGTCTGACAGAGACTGAAGGAACGCCTACCATTGTGGCCCACAGTTACCCTTCAGAACTGGGACCAAACTCATCCTTGTGGTCAACTTTCAGCCAAACAATAGACAAGTAACTAGTGCCAACAGGATGACACTCACTCCTTAACCAGCCGTACAAGGTGAAGGCCAGCATTTACCTAAGGATGAAGTTGAGAAGACAGAGGGGTAAGATAGAAGGATTAATGGAAAGGGAACCACAGGGAGGAAGTGGGGAGCATGGGATTAAATAAAGAGCATTGCAGTTAACATTATACAATTTATACAAATCATTGACTAGAAAACAGAGTCGCTTCATGAGATTTCACTCAAATTACAACAAAAAGAGAAAAAGATGAGTAGACACAGTGTAATCTTGAGTGAAGAGAGGAGGCTGAATAACTTATAATCTGTACATGCTTTTAAGAAATGAATTTGCATCATTTGACTTGCATATATTACATAAGAAAAATAGTTTAGAAGTCTTTGGATGAATGAGTTCTGATTTGATCTTATCTTTAAAGAAAGCCGTAGACTTCAATTAGCTTTTGCTTGTCCAATTCTTTCAAGAGTAAGTTAGGGGATGTCCTGATTAAATTGTATCCCTCTAAAATATGTGTTTGCTTGGCTGGGACACAAGTCTCAGGATTTTGGATGTAGGGACGTGACTTGGCAGTTATGTCGTCTGTCGTAAAGAGTTGAAGGTGGGTGCATCACCCTAAATTCTACAAGGGTCCTAATCTGACAAAAGAGGTGTTTCCATGGATATTGTCTGCATCACCCTTATCTTCCTAGAGAGAAAAGAAGAGAGGTATAAGGAGAGAGGGAGGGCCTCTTCCCAACCAAGAAGAGCCAGGAGCCTCGTGTGGCTTTGGGTCCAGGTGCCTGCACTGGGGACCTCTTAGTCCAGGTGCCTGCACTGGGGGCCTCTTGGTCCAGGGGAAGATCAAAGCCAAGACACTTGGAGCTCTCCAAGGACATTGGCCCACAGATGCTGAAAGGAACAAGGACCTTTCTGCAGAAACCACATAGGGAGAAAGCCTTCCCCTACAAATCAAGCAGTGCCACGGAGGTCTAGCCCCTCAATTGTGAAAAAAATGAATGTCTGTTAAATGCACCCAAGTATGGTATTTCTGCCCCAACTGCACTAGATGGTGAGGATGGGCAGAGGAGGGGATCACTGCTTTTCTAAATCTTTAAAATATTTAAATTACCAGGGCATGTTCCACACACAACATCAGTTTTCTTATCTACCTATTTAGACACAGCGTAAGCAAAATCTTCAATGGGAACAGGATGCTTTAAATGGATATTTAGAAGTCGAAGTCTGAATTCTTTAAAGAATCGCATTGGAACGAGCACACTCTTTTGTGAGTATCTGCTCTGAATCCAGCATAAATCAGAGGATGCTTTGAATCAGCGCAGTGTCCTATCAACAGGAAGTCTTAGCTGACTCACAGCTAACACTCTCCTCTTCTTTGGGAAGAAGCGGTGGAAATATTTCCTTTGAAGTGGTCTCACGTGTGCATAAATGATTATTTCACTCGTCACTTAGAGCTTGGGGTAATTGAAAAAGAAGAAACTTCACTCCCAAAGTTTTGAATGGCTGTTTGTCACACACACGAGTGCAGAACAGCTGTGTGAATGCTGACATGATTTCCAGGAAATGTCAGGGAGTGTTCCGGGTAATTAGGTGGAAAGCATTTTTTATTTCTTGAGAAATACGGTTTTAAAGTCTGAATTGTCAGGAGAGGTCACTGGTGATTATTACTTGTAGGTTAAAGGGCCAGCAAACTAGGTCTTTAGGGAAAATCTGGCCCTCTAGCTGTTTCATAAATAAAGTTTTATTGCAACACAGCCATGTTCATTTGTCTCTGTATTGTCTATGACTGCTTCTAGCTACAAAGATGATTAAGAATTGTGACAGGGACCATATGGTCCACAAAGCTGAAAATACTGACTTTCTGGCCCTTTGACAGAAAAAAGTGTGTTGACCCCTCCTCAAAGGCACTCTTATTTTTTTGAAACTCCACATCATCTCACACACATTAAGATGCACCCAAGTCCTGTATAAAGCAAACACATGCCATGCACATTTGGAGAGGTTTTAAATAAGATTGCTTTTGAGACTCTTTGGCTATGGGTGAATCATTTAATTACTGCTGTGCGTGGAGTCTTGGCATCTGATGTGCATATTTGGGAGTTCTTGTTTTATGAGGCCGCCACAAATTGTTTTCAGAAGTAATAAAACATTCATGAGATATTCGAGAATGCCAGATTTAACAATTAATGAGAACAAAATGTTATATTGTGCAGATACTTAATTAGTCATTTATTAGTTTTGATTTTGCTGCTTGTGTGTTTTAAAGCCAATTTTTTTATTTCTCTCCCTGATTTTGGCCATTTTCATAGTGCAATGAGCTAAGTGTCAGGAGACTAAACAAAAGGTCAGTGGTTCAAATCTGCCAGCTGCTTTGTAGAGGAACATGAAGCCGATGAAGCCGGTTGCAGCCCGAGGACTGAGAGCCCTAAGGGCAGTTCTATGCTGCCCTGCCTGAGTGCTCTCGGCGGGAAACGGATAGCTGACAGTGGGCTTGTTTGCTTTAGTGGATAAAGCACTCTGTCTTGGGATTTTCAGGAAGTGCCCTTAGCATTTAAGTCTCAGTCTTTCCTTTGAAAGTCACTCTATATTCTGATTTGTCACCTCACCCGACACAGCTCAGCTTCTGTATAGGTGTTGCCTGGTTGTTCCACCAGTTTGTTCTAAAGTCCGAACCAAATCAAACCTAACCCATTTCCACCAAGCCCTTTCTCGTTTGTTTTGGCCTTTATGTGTTGAATAGTGGTGGCTCTGTGCCAAGGAGCGGCGCTATCAACCCCAAGGCCTGCAGTTTGAAACCACCAGCTGCTCCGTGGGATGACAGGCCGTCGCCTCCTGTGTGATTTCCGCCTCTGAAAACCCGCCGGAGGCTCAGCTCTGAGTTGGTTGTGACTTGATGGAAGCGAGTGAAGGAATGAATATGAAAACTATTTAATGATGGTTGAATAAATAAAAGAAGATAAAAGTTTACCCAGGTTAAGGGTGGAAAGGGAACTCTGGTGGCCTAGCGGGAAGAAGCTGCGCTGCAATCCTAAATGCATGTGGTTCAAATCCACCCGCCTCTTCATTGGAGAAAGATAAGCAGTCTCCTCCTGTGAACTTTAGCAGCTCTGAAAACCCACTGGTGAGCGATGGGTCAGTTCCAAATTGACGGCCAACAGTAACAATACCGCCATCACAGCCCCGGTCGATGTGGGGGAAATTCCTCTAGAATGTGACTGGTAACAGCTTTCATTTAATTGTTGTTGTTGTTATGTGCCATCGAGTCACCTGCAACTCATAGCGACCCTACGTACATGAGCCCAAAACACCGCTCTATCCTGTACCAACCTGTCTCTGACACACCTACCTCCATTACCCCAGTCACTGAATCAATGCATCTCATTGAAGGTCTTCCCTCCTGCGCTGTCCCTCCACCCTCCCAAACATGACGTCACTCTCCAAGGACTGGTCCCTCCTTGCAACAGGTCATTAGAGAGAACAAATCTGTCTTAGAGAAAGTGCAACTAGGGTGCTTCTTAGAGGCAAAGAGGGGGACCCCTCATCTCACGCACTTGGGTAAGTTACTAGAAAGGACTGACCTTTGGGAAAGAACATCATGCTCTGACCAGACCAGCGCTCGTGCGGAAGGCCACAAGGGGGGGCTTCAGAGGGGCTGTTCATCGGTGGCTCTGAGCCAGAGTGGACTGGATGG